AAAATAAATATAATACAATTATTATAGCATTGTATTTATTTAATAATTAATTATTGGCTTTCATAAAAGTCCGTAAAAAATAAAATTGTCCCCGTAATTACTGTATTGATTTCTTACCAGTTGACTGGTGTGAAGGTGCCTCGACGTTGGTGGTTCTGGGGGTTAGACTCTTTATTTTGTGTTCGTCCAAATTTAGTTCTATGTTTTCTTTCAGAACCCAACAAAACTGCTGCTCAGGTTGGTCTTGCCCTCGCCGGCTATATTTGGTTGGCTAAAAGAACCCAGCTTGGATGATACCAGTAGTCACCAGCCTTCTCTGCAGCAGTGGGCTTCGAACCCAAGCCAGTGGCGTGATAGGGTCAATCTCACACCACTGCCCCATCCTGACCCTTGCAATACAGCAAAACAATACAGCAAAATAATTGAATAATTTATTATTGTGGATCGGTATATTGCAATGATTGTTATGTGCTTCTGTGAAGCCCAGTACAATTTTTTATTTTATTGTAAGAGCACTGCTCGCGCCTGTAGACGAAGCGAATGGGCACAAGCGGATTAACCCCCGTCAGACTGAGCTCTCGCACTCAGCGTAGATATGGCACGCCAGCACACGCCAGCTCGACCTAAGCAAAGGGGAGCCAGCAATCATAAAGTGAGGACTGGCACCGCCACGGCGCCGAGCGTCAGCATACTACTTTACTTCCTGATGCAATCAGTTACACCTCCACCTCTGACGACATCACCGCTGATTGCAACACGCAACTCCCGTCAACCCGCATTGCGCGTCAAGAAAACGCGCGGCTCGAAGACAGTCAAGATCTACAAGGGATTCAGATACACAAAGTCTTGGGCGTCTACAAAGAACATAGTGTACCGGTGCAGCACCTATCGTACTTTGCGCTGCGGCGGAGTGTTAAAGATAACACCCCATGGTGAATGGAGCGTGGTAGGCGACCACAACTGCCGTAATGATGTGATAGCGAACGGGTCGTTAAGGAATGAGACCGTTGCTATGAAGAAGATGACCGACCGCCTCGCTACGGAGGACCCTGGCATGCCGGAGGAAGATATTTGGGAGCGTGTCTGTGCTGAGTTCTACGGACCCAATCGCGAAGAGCTGATTGAAGCTTTAACCGAGGAGCAAGTTAAAAGCCGCATCCGCCGAGTTCGCCGCCGTTATTATGGTGGAGCCATCCACGGTATAGTCGAGGTACCACCGTGCTCCAAGGTCAAGGACTCGGAGATCCCGTTCTTTCGCTTCCATCTAGTGGCCGCCCACCCTGAGCCGAATACTCCGCCCAACCGTATTTTGGGGTGGGCTCATCCTGCCCTAAAGGAACTCCTACTGTACAACAGTGTTTCTCTCTTTATCGACGGTACTTTCAGATGTGTGCCTAGAGGATTCTACTAGTGTTTGATCGTTATGGTGGACGATCCGGCTCGCAATATGTACACCCCGGTGTATTTCGTGCTCTGTACATCCAAGACTGAGACGATGTACGAGGATATCTTACATCTGATACACCGTGACACCCGCAAAAAGATGACTCCTGCTGAAGTTGTTTGTGATTTCGAGTTCAGCTTGATTTCATCGGTTCAAACTCAGTTCCCCAATGCCGAAGTAATAGGTTGTTTCTTTCATTTTAAACAAGCAATTCGCAGGCGACTTAAAAAGGAACGCCTAACGGAGGATGAGACTTCAATACCTATGGCGCCTGGCGTACTTGACACCCTCACTGTTATCGATCCTGACCTCGTTGGCCCAAAAGGCATTGCATGGGTCAAACAAGAGATTAAACGGAAGTGTTGCGAAAAAGGATGCGTGTACTCCTCGAAAGAATGGCGTAATTTCTGGTGATACTCCCGTAAAACCTGGCTAGAGCGGTATTTCATCACTGAGTGGAATGTATTTGGTATCACTAACTCCGTGGTAGCACGTACCAATAACCTCTTAGAGAGGTTTAACCGCGAAATGAATGCGGCGTTCAAGCCCCACCCCAATCTGCGCCAGTTTGTTTCGACGATAGGGCGAATGTCAAGTGCGTACGCAAGAAAGCAGGCCAACATCACACAAGGACTTGCCCGAAAGAAACAGCGTCCACCTCGTATTTCACTTCCACCGGTACCAGACTTGATGGACTTTGAAGTGCCACCTGAGTTGGACAACGACGATGCCAACCTTGACGAGTCTGACGAGTCCCTTGAGTCACTATGTAGTGATATGGAGGGCAACTTAATTCTGCGATGGGATTCATCGTCGGACGAAGAGCCTACGGTCAATGCTGCTGCAGCTGCAGCTGCGGAAGGTTCGGAACAGGAGATCGTAGAGGCCGCCAATCATTACGACTTCAGCCTGGACTGGGATGGAGATCAAAAGTCCGACGAGGAGAGCAGTTCAGAAGAGGATTAATGGTGCGTTACCACAAGCAGCAACGCTGGGTTTAACTGCATAACTGCACACATAGGATTGGATCAGTAGTGCATTTGGTATAATACACATAAATAAATACACATACTCATCTTATGATCGGATGTTTGCACTGACATGATGATTTGGCCAGAAAAATCATCCGGGCATAAGGTCCGGTCACGGCGTAATACGGACTGTAAAAAAATCTACGCAGTAGTTGAAGTGGTCGTAGAAGGAGGCTTGATCTGGCGACGCTAGCCACTCGTGGTCACTTGCTACCAGTGTGCCCTGAGCATCTGGTCAGCAGCGGCCATGTATTGATGCACCAGTGTTGGCACGTCGCGCGTGAAGCTGAACACCGGCTCATACGAGCCCTTGAGACCTTTCCACTGCACCAACACTTTGTAATCATCGATATCGTCGTTCCACCGGTGTTCTTGGGTTTCTTAATCGCTAGGAGGATCCCCTGCAACAAGATGAATTCGAGCAGTTCATCGGTCACGTCCAAACTGGAGTCCGCACATAACTTTAGTCTAGAGGCGTGTACGTGATGAGGTGTTTGATGAGAAAGGAGTGTGCGTCACCATACATCACGCGATACGGCTCGATCCAAGTGACAAGTATCTTGTTACCGTCCTTGACATCGACTGGGGAACGTAGGATATAGTTTGCTTCAATAAAAAACAATAACGGTTTCACCCCGTCCCCGCTTCTTGTTTATCAAATTTTGCTCCATGCACTAGTCTTGCACCACCTTGTCCATGTCCTGAAGAGTGTTGAGCAGGTTTGAGAACAACTTGTCGACGTTGTTGTTGACGGTCATCGCCTGGAGCTCTACAGCGTCGGACTGGTAGAACTCGGGAAGAGGAGTCGGGTATGGTAGCAATGTAGAGATCTTCACTTGCGCTCCGTCGCCTAGTGAAGGCACCGTGATATGGTTGGTTGGCTTACACCATCGGACCCAAGTTCATCCAGTTGTGATGGTAGGTTGTGTACCTCAGGATCATTGTCCCCGTTCATGCACTTGACGGAGGCGTTGATTCAAGGGCAGTAGGCAGGAGGAACTACTGCTTCGTCTGCAGGCGTCGTGATATTTCACTCAGCACTTCATTCTTAAAGTGTGATCCTTGGTCGGAGATCCATACAGGAGGCAGGCCGAACTGGGCATGTCACGCTAGCGACGCTTCCACGGTCGCGGGATTGTTGGCTGTGTTTGCTACGACAACCTCATAATAGTGAAGCGTGTGGTCCTTGAGCACGAGGACGTACTTGGAGTCTCCGAAGGTCTCGCCCATGGAGAGGGTCGCCTACTTTTAAAAGCGTTGTTATCTTGTTGCTCATAAGGTTGCCAACACGAAAAGCCTAGCCCGTTGCACAACAACCTGGCGTCATACTCTTACTCGGATTTGCTAGCCAAACTTGGAAACGATTGCTCATTTCGCCGTCGAATCCGTAGCACAGCACCCCGGTGACTTTGACTGCATATGACCAATCTAATAAAATCCAGTCCGTTTTAGTCAGAATACAGGACCAATTGTACGTACTTGGCCCCATAACTCTCCGTTGAATAATGCGTTTAAAAATCACAGGCTGTCGGTCGTTAAATGGAATAGTTTCTTTCAGAAGCATCCCTAGAAGATAGACATTCGAAGCCCATAAATTCTGTTTCTGAAAACAGGGGTATTATATCCTTCTAGCGGGTACCTCTTTTAGTGCTTTCCTAGCGCGATCGCAGCATTCGTGAGAATTCGAGATAAAGTAGCAGGTGGAACTGCGTATGGTTCGGGCAGCGTCTTGTGCTCGATTGCGATTGTGTGGAAATGGAGTAGACACGCAAGAACGTTGTTGACATTATGCAAACGATGGGGTCTTCCTTTCGGCCCTGGCCTACATTTTACATGAAGTGGCAACTAAAAACAGTCAAAAGGCTGTTAAGCTCAGCAATCGGAAGCGATTCAGTCACTATGAATGCACTAGTATGACTGACAACTGGCGTATTTGACTGCCCATGCTTCCTCGGAAGGCCGATCGCAGTTAAATAGTGTCGATCGCACAGACACATTTGAGGTAGTACAAGTGTTATTATTGCCTTTGTCTATGAATGGTTCTAGTGAAGATATTGGTGTTGCGATTGCACTTCGTCGTCAACTCGCTTTGGTCCCTACTCAAAGGCACAAAACTAGCGCGTGCAGTGCGCTTGCAGTGCGCGTGCCGTACGCGTGGCTGTGGGGGCAACAGTTGAAGTTGTCAGAATTGAACAATGCTATTGGCTGGTGAAGTGTTGTTGGATGAATGTGATTGGTCGAGAAGATGAAGCGGGTGATCGCGGGATCGGTACATATGGTCGGCGGCATTTCGTTATAGCGGCTTTTTTTATAGCGGGTTGACAACGTAGTTTGTTTGAATATGGCCTTGCGATGACATACAAGTTGCATTTCTGAGCCAAACCCTATATATGAGAACAGACCTCCTCATGTTAATCCCATTTATCGTCTTATGGGTACAATCGATGGCTTCCAAAAACGCCACCGGCCCAAGAGATCAAAGATAAGCACAAGTTGTGTCGCTGTTAATACTAACTTTTGCTAGATTTACGTCCGACTTACGTTTCGCATGGCCTCCAACACTTACTGAGTGTACGAGCGGTATATGATTAACAGCGCACACTACCCATGCCATATATTCAAAATTTCGTCATCAAAACCAGCAAGCAAGATAATGGGACTGTATGTCGGTGCTATCGTCTTACGCACTACTGGGCGCCGCCAAAAATTGCAGATAGCGAACGAAGCATGGTAGTGTAGTGAGTGAAGGAAGGTAAATCCAAAAGGAGATTGATTTAGTTATCAGTTCTTGCTTCCTACACGTGCATAACCTCCTACCTCTCCTGTAGGTCTCTCGGCAAAATCATACAAATCATACAGGTTCTGTCATTGCAATGATTTGCAACGGACACAGTTGATTGCAACGGACACGCTTGGCGGGAATGGACACGGTACCCGTCTAAATTCAATCAGATCTCATTTTACCTGCTAACTAGCAAACCAACTGACAGAGTACTGCGAAGGCATCTTGCCTGAGTCCGTCCGTAACCCAACCTCTGCTAAGTGCTACCATATCATACCGTGACGACGCTATTGTGACACTGTATGGTGTAATATTAATAAGACTTTTCTTACGTTAATTAAAATTATGATTGGCCAACTTCCAAAATCATTATTTTTATGTATGGGCCGATAGTTATTTCGTCCAAAATTGACCTACAAGGATTACACTTATGGGCCTTAGATCGATCTAAAGACCGCGCGACCGTGAATCACAAAGGTATGCTCATCCTCATCGATTTTTTTTCCCTCTTCTGAAATCGCCACCTTTCGTATTTAGCCGAATTAACTCGAAGAGCATTGTTCACGTCGCGGTTATATTTGAGACGGCGGCAAACAAAATGTTACTAATCAACATTTTTAGCGTTTTCGAGATAAACGGCTCTGAAGTTGACCAACAGTTTTTCGTACATAAACGAATTGCTGAGTTAGAGCCTTTTTTACTTTTCAAAAATTTGGATCGAGGTGTATCACCTACAAAGCAGACGACCATGGAGGATCTAATAGCGTACGCGTCGGGAACTGCTGCTGGCGGCGGTGAAGCTGCTCCCCACCGTGCCGACACTGGCGCTCCTGTTGCTGCCCCGGTCGCCCCCAAGGAACCGGAAGAAGAAGTAGGCTGTAGCAGCCAAAGCGCCGCGAGTGACAGCGAGAAGCTTGACGACAGCGAGGACAAGGACTTCACCCCCGACTCACAGACATCTAGTTACGACGAAGAGCCCCTTACAGCTGAGAGCGCAGATAGTGGAGAGGAGGACACTGCTGCTGAGGGTGACGAGGACATTAGTATCTATTTGATGGACCAGGATTTTCGTGGCCAAGTTACCTCCATTCTTCAAGCTGATGCGTGTGGGAATCGCTGCGTGGAGAGCAAGACTAAGCAGCTGGAGTTGCTGCCACAATGACGAAAACGGAGAAGTCCATCAGCCTCTACACTCTTTTGGGGGCACTGATGCAGGTGCCTGTCGATCGTGCTCGTGGGTATGGACTTCGGGATAAGTTTGCATACTATCTTCCTTTCGTGGGCAAGGTGTGTCGGCCCACGTTTGCTCGCTGCTACGGTGTGGTGCCGCTCACTGTTCAACGATACAAAAACCACGTCCGTGACGGAAATATCGGGGCAAAGAGCCATGGGAACACTTTGAACCAGAACGCAGCGGCTGTCGATCTGGTCTGGTTAGTGAAGTGTTTAAGGAGTTTGCAGAGGAGGTTGGGGAGGTTGTGCCGGTGAGAGTTCGAATGCAGAAGACGAAGGATGGCGTCACGAAGAAATATTACAGCAGCGACAGGCACACGCTACTGCCCGCGCACTTCACATGGAATGTTTTGTACGAGGAGATGCACAGCTTCGTGGAGCAGATTCGCCTGCGCGTCCGAGAGCCTGTACCTTCGACGATGAGGAAGCTACTGACGCTCCATTGTCCGACCATTCGCATTCGGTCGCCAAGAAGTAACGTGTGTGATATCTGTTCCATCTACCATACAAGCATGCGCAACGACGTCAGTGCAGAAAAAACCGAGGCGATTGGCCGACATACGGAGTCCGCTCGCAAAATGCGGTAAGGGAGATTGGTATCAATTTAATCTACTGGTAACTTTTAACAGGGGATGTTAATATCTTTTTGTTTTGGTTGCAGCCGTGAATACAAGAAGGACAAGACTTCAGTGAGCGACGACCACGCCGTTATCGTCATGGACTTCGCGCAGAACCTTACTGTTCCTAGCATTGCCAGTACGCCGTCGCAGTGGTATTTTTGCTCACTGTTGTCCGTCAGTTGCTTCGGCATTTTCTGCGAGAACGACGGTATTCAAACCAACTACCTCTACGATGAAACAGCGAGTGGAAAAGGCAGCGACCAGATCAACTCCATGCTAGAACATTTTCTCCGGACCAAGGTTCTGTCTGAAGGCAAGAATAGATTGACTGTTTACGCTGACAATTGCTCGGGTCAGAACAAGAACAACTACGTCATCAAGTTATTGTTGGCGCAAGTGGACATGGGGCTGCTGAAGCACGTAGACTATAAGTTCTTTGTAAAGGGCCACACGAAGAACTCGTGCGATCGAGGTTTCGGTCATATTCGCAAGCATGTTGCGAAAGTAGATTGCTATACTGTGGCTCACGTAGTGGACGCTGTTAAGGAAGCCGCGGCGAACTCTGTGATGGTTCACATTCCACGTGGTAGCTCGCAGTTTAAGAGTTACAAGGGCGTGCTGACGGAGCTGTACAAACGCCTAGAAGGCATTCAGCAATATCAGATCTTCTCCATGGACGAGGTGTCGATTGGAGTAGTGTCGTGTAGGAAGGAACCTAACGATGAGCCCGTCGAGATGAATCTCCGGCGTAAGTTTGACGGTATCCTCACGACAAAGTAGAAGGTGGTGAAGATGATGAGCGACCACGTGGAGGTGCTGGGCCCACCACCGCCCAATGTGGAGAAAAGCCAAACGATGTACCATAACATCAGGCCAAACGTCCCTGAGGAGTTCCGAGACGATCCACTGTACGCAAAAGCGAGTGCGCAAGACCACCTGGATGCCAAAGCAGCCAAGCAGGCACGCCGAGACCACCGCGCGGCCATGGTAGTGGCAGCGAAAGCGAATCAGGACCGTCGTGGGCGCGAAGACGTCGGGCTAAGCGCCGAGGAAGCGCCTGCAAAGAAGAGGAAGGCCCCAAAGAAGTAAGTGCTTCGACAGAGTATGCGATTTACCCGATA